CTAAAAAGGAAATAAATAGTTAGATTTGTTTTCCTGTTTGGAGAAAGAAAGAAATAGTTGGATTTATTTTTCTTGTTTTGTAAAAGTAAATAAATCGTTAGATTTATTTTCCTGTTTTGTAAAAGAAATTGTTTTGTAAAAGGAAATAAATCGTTAGATTTATTTTACTTTTTTGTAGAAGGAAATAAATCATTGAATTTATCTTATTATTTTGCAAAAGTAAATACCCATTGGTTTTATTTTTCTATTTTATAAGAGGAGATAAATCGTTGGATTTAATTTCTTGTTTTGTAAAAGAAAATAAATTGTTGGATATTTTCTTGGGAATCATGTATGATTCTATTTTGAAATAAATAAATAAATCATTAAATTTATTTCTTGAAAATCTTGATATTTTTGTAAAGTGAGATCTTGTAATTAAATTTGTTTTTGGGAATTTAATTTATGTCGGTTTAACGAGTTACTTTGATCTATTTGTTCCAAACAATAAGTAATCTGAATAAAAAATTGTTTATTCAATTTTGTTATGGACAAATATGTTACTATAAGTAACATTGGCTATTGATTCTGTTGAATTATGTTTTGATATAACAATTTATGGCAAAAAGTTTTTGGACTTGAATTGAATTTATTCAAAATTTTCAAAGTTTACAAAAATAATTCAAAGTCCATTTAATTTGGAATTGAGCACAAAAATGTTTTTATGAATAGTATTGTACTGCATGAATAGTATCAATATTGTATGAATAGTACTGATATTGTGTGAACAGTAATAAACAATACCGATGCTTAAAAATTCCAGAATGCAAAATGGGTATCGATACCTCACAGTAGTATCGGTACCTCTAAAGTAATTTCAAGCCCAACGGTTATAAAATTCAAATATTTCGAAGGTAGTATCGATACCCGTTGAAAGAGTATCAATACCACTTGTTATGGGCTATTTTATTTTGCAGAAAATTAATCCCCAACGGATCCAAACATCCTCAACGGCTAAATATGACTTCAAACTCATTTCAAGCTATAAATATTAGCTGAGGACGCTTGAAGAACAAAGAGAACACCTATCCAAGCATTCAAAGACAAGAGAAGAGTTTTTCAATCTTATTTTTATATTCTCTTGTAAATATTTTTTCTTCTGAGCTTAAATTTTGTAAACACCTACCTTAGAGAGGTTTTCTTGTTTACATTTCTTTTTTCTTTTGTAAAGGGGTTTTGGTTCTAGCTGAGCCTATTAAAAGCTAGGGGTTTTGGTTCTAGCTGAGTCTATTAAAAGCTAGGGATTGGTTCTAGTTTAGCCATTGAAAAACTAGAGAGTTGTAAATGTTATCTCTTTGTCCTGTAAAAAGAAAGAATAAATTAGTGAATTTGTTAGAAAATCCTTGGTGAGGAGCTAAGGTAATGGATGTAGATTTGGTTGAGAAGTCGAACCACTATAAATTGCTGTGTAATTCTTTATCTTTCAATCTCCTTACTCCCTAAACACAAAAACCAACACGACCCCTCTTTACGAACCATTTCAATTGTCAATTCGAGCTTTCGTAAATACCAACAGATTTAGTTCAACGAAATCTATAAACATTGATTTCGATAGGTCTCAAATCAAAGCATGAAAAAAGATTGGTTTCCTATGATGTAATCACATTCTCAAAGCCATATTTGATACATGTTATGAAGTGTACATTGTTTATGGCTAAAGAATTATAGATGATATTAGGCTATAAATATGACACTAAGGAAAGTGTAGTGGCCAAGTTCTTAAACTCGTAATGGTGGCACAAATGGAGGTGAATAAATATTTTACTACCTTCATTACTGATATCAAAAAGTATTGTTATATGCTTGCTAAAGAGAAAATTGAAGATATAGAGAAATTTATTCTCTAAATTGGAAGGTGAAAACCAACTTAATAAAATATTAAGATCGTAAGAAGTGATATGGTGGTGAATAAATTATTCATGAAGTGACACCATCATATTCTCATGAGTTAAATGGAGTAGCAAAACGGAAGAATCAATTCTTAAAATGGAAATAATGAACACAATGCTAAGAAGTTCTAAGTTATCACATAAAATATGGGGGAAGCTGTTTCAACTAATTACATTTTAAATAAGTTTCTCCAAAAAGAAAAGAAAATTTGACAAGACACCATATGAATCATGAAAATGTAGAAAATCTTTCTACAATTACTTAAAAATGTGGGTCTTGTAAATATAATGATCTCATTATCAAAGGAAACGAAAATAAACCCCAAAATAATGGATTGTATTTTCATTGGCTATGTATATTATAGCAAGCCATATTGATATCCTGTGTATGAATCAAAGAATCCTGAGATTCACAAGAACTTATTGATATCTTCCCTTATAAAACTAAGGAAGATGATCGAAGCCTATCAATAAAGATAAGTCTATATGTTCAACAAAAGGTTAAAACAATGATATTATCATGATGACAAGCATCTGAAAATCAATTATGAGAGAATTGTGATATCTCATTTATGCAAAAAAAATATGAATTGTATTATCCTAAGACCATGCTGCCTTAATAGGATACTCCGATACCAGTTGAATATCTGTTATTCAAGATATCAAAGACACAAGTGAATGTGTTTCACATTGGGAAGAGGAGTCATGTCATAGAAATCCTCAAGAAAATGAATATAATAAGTTTCACAATGGAATATGAGATTTTAGCTCTAGAGAAGTCTAAAGAATAAAACTAAATAGCTTTAGAATTTGTTGGAGGATATTTCTCAATGGCTGAAATTTGTTCTCATAATATGCGTATACTGTGATTAGCACAAAATTTCATGAATAACGGTAAAATCAAGATATAAGCATTGTCGATATAATATCGTTAGATAATTGATCTCAAATGGAGTTTTTTCTATTGATTTTATAAGACTAGGGGATAACGTTATGGATCCATTAAAATTAAATATTTTATGTGAAGGAAAACCCTACCTTGTTGGCTGGATATCCCTAGATCTGGATTCAAAGGGACAACCTAACTACATAAATCATGTACGATCACTGTGGGGTTTGTTAATCCCAAGCATGTTCCTACGATGTAAACAATGATTAAAGTAGTATAGGTTAAGCAAGGTTTTTAATGACCATTAGGTGCTTCGATGGGTCGAGCAACATAAGTCACCTATGTGAGAGTGAAGTGAGGTTGCTTCAAATAGACTATGGGGCATAGTTCTTTTAAACTCTTGAAGAACCATGCGATGTTCACAGCTATATGAACATACCCATGAGAACCAATATACATTTCATAAAGATAGTTGTGTGAAGTATATCGTTGTTTACACAAACGACGAAATAGTTTAAGGACACCATGTCTACTGGTTAGCCGGTAAAGTAAATATGTTGTCACAAAGGAATGTTCAAAGGAGGACACCTACCTATCTTATGCAACTATCGTTCGTAGGTTCTATCACCACATCGAGTTAAAATGTTTTGATAAATTCATCAATTTCATTCATGTGGGGGATTGTAAAAAAAATTGTGATAAACTGGAAATTTTTTAGGCATATTTTCTAAGGGTAAAGATTAAGAGTCTCAAATAACGAATTTATTGATTCATATTCTACTAAGATCTTTACAACGATATCTAATATGCTCAAAATGATTAAGTGATGAATGAGAAATTTGTGTTCAAAGTAGAGTACATGTGAATTATGTTATTTAAGGAAAATAGGAAAACTCATATCCCACATCACATTAGTGGGATAAGAAGCTAGGGAATGATTTATATACGCAAGCCCACTTATTAGTCATTGAATGATTTGGGTTGGAATTGTGTCTTGTGTGTAGGCGCAGAGGGCTCAAATTGAATCTTGTTAAGCTTATTGGGGTTGAGGGTGCACCTGTACAATGTGAGCGAACCAAATGTAAATCGGTCGGGTCTATAGAGGGGCATGCTAGATATTTTGCCCACTATAAATTAAATATTTTCCTTAAATGTGTTATATCTTTTTTCAATATTCTAAATTAATTTAATTCAAATATTAATATAGTATGATTTCAATTCACATTGCTATTTGATTATTTTCGATTTTATTCAAATATTATTAATTAGTTCACATTGGAAATTAATTGATTGTTTCCGTTTTTGATCGGATACTAATCAATGGTCTTTATTTTATTCGGATATGGTATGATTTCAGTTCACGTTGGTATTAGATTATTTTCGATTTTATTTGGATATTATTAATCAGTTCACATTGAAAATTAATTGATTATTTCCGTTTTTGTTCGGATACTAATCAATGACCTTTATTTCCAACTTTTCTCCTATTTGAAACACTATAAATAACGCACAAAACTATAAGGTTTTACACCTCAAATTCTCTCTTCTTCTCTTGTTTATTTTTCGATGATATTCTCTAACAGGTAAAAAGATTCATAATCTCGCAGGTTATACTACTTTGCATTGATCATATTATTGTTATATCCTGAGAGACAGGCGACTAAAGAATATCGAACACCAAAGAGTGACCGAAGTTCTACCTTAAGGAAATTGCGTAATTACACACCTCAACCCCTTCTAGATTCTTTATTTTGACAAAAGTTCGAGTCTTTATTTCTTAATTGTTCTTTCTAATTATTTAATAAAATATTTTGTTTAATTTTTATCGTCTCGATTTGTTATTTCTAACAATCTTCACCATCTTCGATCATTGTTGGACAGTATCGTTATTTTTTAACAATGAAGTATCAAAGTAGAAATAAAATATAATATTAAATATGATTAAAGTAATAGTTGAATGGCATACATACATGCGTGCACACATATATACATAAGATAAAATAGTATTAAGCTCCAATTAAACCCATCCAAATCAATAAATATTATTATGTTGATTTTCTTTGTAATATCTTCTAAACTTGATTTTCAAGGGATGATGTACATACATGCATGCAGGCACAAATACATACATAAGATAAAATAGTATTTAGCCCCAATTAAACCCATCCAAATCTTTAAATATATGTATTAACAAAGACACCAAGAAAAGTTTTCATTTGTAAACAAAGACAAGCTTATAGATTATACATACATGTAATAAATGCCAAGGAACAATTAAAACCAACATTAAAAACATAAATTACCTGCGATTGTAGATTGGTTCGTATTATTATCCGAAACATCAAACTCTAACAAGAGCTAAAAAGTATAGAGAACAGATACTAACTTCTAGCATTTGCTTTGTATGAGTAACCACAAATGTCGGACTTTGATGCCAGACCGTTGGGAACCAGCCGGGCCAACTTGAGATCTTTGGTACAAAACGATGGTTTGGCATCGAGTATTCAACTTCTCTAAGCATTTGAACCAACTTGTGGGAACGGAAGCAACAATAAAAGATATCAACTCTTGACTAGGGTCAGGTCAATCTGCAATGGTGGATTCATAGTGTTTTGGAACAAGAACTGGTTCACCATTACTGACTTTTGATACAGCAATCTCTTCTATGCGCTTCCAGGTGGCTTCATGTTTCATTTTGGTCTCTTCCAGCTTTTCTTTATCTTCTAGAAACTTGTTCAAGCATTCTTCAGATAGCACGGGATCAGTATCGGAAAAGATCTTGCTAACATTAAGTGTCAAGCTCTGGACAACCTGATTCCAATGGTTATGCCCATTTTGCTCCAAGGCAGGGAAAATAATGGGCAGTATAACTCTGCGGTTTTGTCTAATTAAGTTCTCAATGTGATCATTATTCCACAGGAACAAAGCCCTCTCTGCGACCTGTAAGAGCAAGCATCAGCGATCTGAAATTCCGGAAAACCATCACATGTTCAACCAAATATTTTAAGCAGATATGTCTCGACTGAAAGCTTCGAATCTCACACTGAGAACGAGAATTTTACACAAAACTATACAAACCAAATTCCTGTATATAAGGAAATAATAGTTTTTGACATCGAAGGCCTTTATTATGGAAAACGACATGCATTCAAACAGTTTTTTTTACAAGGTAACACCATAATTTAGGAGTTGTAGTCATAAAACTGTATTATCATATGCATTGAACAAGCCACTCAACAATGATAGACAATACGTTACAGTTACAGTTCATTTCAGCACGTATAAAAGTGCTCCATTGTGTACTAAACACATGCATACAGCTTGGCCTTCGAAGCCAACTCCAAAATGCCTTAAAGAAAGATGTAGCCCTCAAGTGTCGGTAAGCCAAAAATTTATATGAGAACTACACACGTGTGTGTGCGATTCTTCGAACTGTTTAAGCATCGTAATATTAGCACGTAACCCCACACAATGCATATCCTTCCTACCAAACGAAAAGTAATTATCCTTTGAACTAAAACCACTATATATGAAGCCAAAGTTTAGGAACAACCCCCGAACTCATGTACGAGGAAACTACTGCAACCAAATCGACCACCTTAGTACGAAAAATGCAGACTATCAACTATGTCCCAGACCATCAATACTCTTCTACTATCATCTAACCTACCAGATTGCTCAGCCAATACAAAAAACTAAAAGCAATGCCATCATACCTCTTAAAAGTTCGAAGCAAAAGGATACATAGGTTCATACATGTATCAAATATTGATGCAAGAGCAAAACATCAATCATTTTCCATCTTCAAGCCAATAAAAGATAATTCGGGAGTTTCTCAGCATGTTCAGTAGCTAATTAATACATATTTACACAACTATGCCAATAAGGAGTCAACTATCATTTTTTATTATTATTTTGGCCGAAAAGAAGCAGGATTAACATGAAGTGCGAAAAGTTTAAAACTATATAATTCAATTCCATTGTCAGACCATGTAATTTAGAATTTCTCACCAGCAAGAAAACTCCAGGCTTAGGCATGACCAGAAAATTTGGTTTAGTGTTGAACATTTGCCTATACCTATGTTTCAAGATTTTCAAAATTTCCATGTAGGAGAGACTTTGGGGGATCATATCCCTATACCTATGTCCGGATATGAGTCAGATACAGGTGTCGGACATTGTACTTCAAGAAAAATGAAGAGTTGGAGCAACATGAGATTTGGTTCTCGTAAGCTTAGGCATACAAACTAGTGTACAATGGAGAGAAACAAAGGATCTAATTTGTTAAGATATAGCCAATAGAGGTGTAAATGAACAGAACGTTCGATGAACTATTTGTAAACCGTTCGTATAACGTTCGTTTGTTAAGCTAAATAAACGAGTATGAACAAAATTTTTATGTTCGTTTAATAAATGAACAGACGTGAATAGAGGTGTGTTTGACTCGTTTATATTCAAGAACAAGCTCGTTTATTGATATCGACTCATTCATTTATGTTCATGAACAAGCTCATTTATAAGCTCGTTTACTTTTTATTTTTTACATTTTAAATATTGGAGAATGTAGGACTAAATTGAACACATGATAAAATTTAGAGTTTAAACTATGAAGCTTAAGGAGTTTAAGCACTAGTGGGGTAATTTTACCATTTTTAGATTGCAAATGAACATGTTTGCGAACGCTAAATAAACATGTTCATGGAAATATAAACAGAAAATAAACGAACGTTAAACGAACATGTTCGCGAACGCTAAACGAACGAACACGGACACCTTTAAAAATAAATAAATAAATTCGAACATGATATTAAAAATTTAAACGAACCGACACATGAACATCTTTGAAAATAAACAAATGAACACTAACACAGTTCAAGCTCGGTTCATTTACACCCCTAACAGCCAGTCCTCTTAATCATCTCATTTGGGAGTAATTGATACAAATATGGTTGAAAAGGTTGACACAGAACACTATCAAAAGAAAGCAGAAACCCATGTTTGAATGAAAGATAATCATGGAAGACCATTGTTCCGAACATAAAGTAAAAGAGAGTAAGAGTAAATAAGTAAATAACTACCCTTTCATCCAATTTATTCAAGTAAAAGTGTGTTTTCCAGCAGATTAGAACTGGACAGATGAAACGATCAACAACGGCATTTCACACAATACGGAATGAAGATAGATTTGAAAAGTTGAAAGCTATTACCTGAAAGTGCGAACTGCTCAAGCATTGTGCGATTTTGCAGAACAACGGTACCATACATCTCTGAAATTCAGCTGGCTGAGTAGCTTCCAAAATTTCTTCCAGCTCACTAAGGAACATGACCTCCTTTGAACTATTAGTAATTGGCCAGTACTTCAATAATCCCCTTATAACAGTGTCAACTAGTTTGCAGTCTTTCTCGTAAAACTGCGTGATGCAGTACGATAACTGCTGGTGATACGTCGGCAAGCATTTTGGTTTGTGAAGGGGTATTAGCGCCCGTACAAGGAACAACTTGTGTTCTTCTTTGAGAGGCAGGGCAAACCCATTGATTATACTTCCCAAAACCTCCAAAAGCTCTGCTATCCCATTATGCTTCTCCGTCTCAAAAATGAAACGGAAGAAAATGTTGTTAATAGCTTTTCTGATAAATGGACGATGTACCATAAACTTGCCATAGATACGATGCAGAATTGTTTTTAGATATTCCCTCTCCCTTGGATCTTCAGAATCAAACAGATCCAGTAATTTAAGAATGAAAGAATGGTCAATGTATCTCTTGGCCAACTTCGCATCAGTCTCAGGAGATGCCACGAATCTAAGAAGGAATTCGTATACAATTTGCAAGTGAGGCCATGCAGGGTCTACCAATGGCTCTTCCTCTTCCAAATCAAAAGCTTCTGGCACCTTGCTTTCACGAGGCTGTGGAGTAAGGGGCCGAAACAAGTTGACAGACACCATCTTTACAGCTTCTTGCATGACGGTTTCAGCAAATTTTCCATTAGCGGAACTGACATAATCGACAAGCTCAAGTAATGTCCGCCGCTTGATGTCCTTCTCTTTCAAGTGCTTCATTGGGTCCGAGAAATCAAACACAACGCAACACAAACTCAGTTTTCTAAGAAACAAGGTTTGCTTCTCAGAGCTAGGAACATCCTTAAATCCTGGCAGAGCTTCATATGGAGCAGTCCCCAAGTTCCCATTAAGTTTTTGATCGACAACTTGGGCGATTCGACACCCATGGTTATATCTGAAAGTAGAAGTAGAATTAGGGCCAGAAAGAGGAGCACTGTCGATTAGCAGCCTATGATTACCCACAATATCACTGCTTCTTGAGTGGGAGGGATTACTCAAAGGAGGAGCAGATGAACCCCCAAATTCACGATTCTCGGACGACTTAGATGGCTTTCGAGGAAGCCTGCCTAGTATCTGCTTGATCATATCTTAAAACAAAAGAAAGAACCAAATCCACAATGAACCAAAAGAACCAAATTTCCTTCACAGCATAACCTATCCTTTAAAAGAATAGAACTTCAACTCCAAAATCAGGGAAGAAAACCCTATAAACTATCCCAGAAGTATAAACCTCTATCAGGATAAAAATATGAAAAATCCCAAGAGCATCTATAAAAGCAGAAACTCTTTCTTTTATCAATCATCCTATACCAAAATTTGACTACTTTATTTACTCAATACAACCATAAAACAGAAATATAACACCTTCTGACTTAACTTCAGCAGAAATTAAAGGAAAAATCCACTCAAAACAGGAAGCAAAGCTACAAACTTCAAGAATGGAAAAGCTCCAGGTTTCTATGTAGGTCCCTGTTACCTCTTCTTCCCCAAATCAGCAGCCAAAGTCAGTTGGGTCAAATGATTACAGGATCTGGATTTTATGAAAAAACACCAAACCAGCATCAATCATAGAAACTATGAAAGCAAATTTATATAAATATAGGAGCTATAAAAAGGTGATGAACTAAAACAGAAGATTATAACAGGAACAACATAGAAAACAAAAGTAGAGCCAGAAGAGAGGAGAGCCCTTCAAACTTACAGAAAGGTGATAACTTGAAACAGAAGTTGAACACAAGAAAGCAAAAGGCTTTAGATTTTCCCCTTTTTTAAAATTTTCTTTTTCTCCTTCTGAATTTACTATGAGCCAAGGGAAAAAAAAAGAGGAAGAGAGAGGGATAGAGGAAACAAAGTGAACAAAAAGCAGCCCTTTGATACACGAACCTTACTGGCTTACTCGCAACCCGTAAATGGAACATCTGAGAACATTTAAAATTTTATTTAAATTTGTAAAAAAAAAATGACAAAATCAAAGAAGTCCATGTACCCTATCAACTATTAAATACTTTTTCCCCATAATTTGTATTAATTATCCTTAAAAATTGATTAATAGATTTGATAGGAATAAAAGAATGAGACATATAAAGATAAAAAAAGAATATAAATATTTTTATTTTTTATTTTTAATAAAATATTTTAAATAAAATAAAAATAAAATTAAAAGAGACATATTTAAAGAATAGTAATTATATTGTAGGTAATTATAAAGTAAAAATAAAAATAAAGGTGTTGTGATATTGAAAAATGTGTATATATTTCTCTCAAGTCTGTTACCATTTACTATAGTCTGTTACCATTTACTATGTGCGAGTAAAATTTAATTTGAAAAATTAATATTTTATTTGATTCGGCTCGTAAAAATTTGAAATTGATTTGATTTGTGATTTTATAAATTCGACTCAATTAAAAAATTTACATTTGAGTCGAGTTGTAAAATAGAATTCGAATAATTCAAATAGTAATTTGAGTAACTCGATACTTTTAATAATTAGTAGATTGATTTTCAAGTTTAAGATGAGTCTTTCAACTTTATATGATATATGTAAATCACATATAAAAAAATATGAAGATCTAAATTAGAATTAAACAATACCATAATATTATAAATATTTACAATTAAATTTAAACAGAAACTCGAACAACTCGACTCGACTCAAATTTTATAAACTTCACTCGACTCGAAATTTTTTAAATAAAGTTTGAATTATAAAATAAGACTCGTCAACTCGAATAACTCGAAATTTTTTTACTCAACTCGATTGAATACTCATACATATCATAAACAACTGTAACACACTGTTTTAAGCATCGGTTAATACTTAATAGCCAATTTATAACATATTTTCCTCTCTTTTTTTATCTGTTTAACATAATCTATAGCTTACGAGGGAAAATGGGTTATTTTTGGATCTTGAAAATTTTCATGAAAATAGAAAATGTTGAATTATTTTGATACGTGGCTTATCTTTCTACGTATGTACTGTTTAGGATTAAACCAGACCAAACAAAACCTAAACGGGAACATAAATTCATACAAAGCATATCGGTTTAGGGAATCGTTTGACTTCGTTTTTCTTAATCTGTCCTAATTGAAGCTAACCAAGTTGTTTAAATAGTTTATATATAAAATATTAATTGGATTTCATAACGTAGGTCTTCAACGGAAACTGCTCTCAACCTGGTGTTGGGGGCAACCTACTACCCTACCTCCCCTTATCTCATTACATATGGGAATAGGGTTAGCTAATTTTTTTAATGGGTTGGAAAAAAAAACTAGTGTCCAACCAAAGAAATGAAATGGTTAGGGTTTTGTTTTAGGTCTATAAAAAGACAAGTTCTTATCCTAGAAAAAAATTATAACAATTTGGTTGATTTTTTTACCGACCAACTTGGCAAATGGTGACATGCTGTCATAGTGTCATGGAAATTAGATATGGTATCTAATTAATTCAAGTCTATTAGGAGTTGAAAATGTGACCACTAATGCAAAACAATAATAAAAGTTGTTGACAATTCATAGGATTTTCACATAAGAATAAACGACAAATAGTAGGGATGGATGTGTAATATGCTTATTTTTCTTAAGAAAGTTGTCAAGGTTAGTATTTTTTTAGTCGATAAGATAATATATGTTTAAGAGGTTTTTAATCGTTTTGACGATAAACACTTAATTATTTTTATAGATATCGTACTCAAATTCAAAAATTCTAGGGATAATTATCTTTTTAATTACTAAAGTCGTTTAGTTCATAAAGTTGACAATTTTAGTTTAATATATCTATAAAGGGACAAAATTTACATTTTAATATGAGAAAAAAATATTAAGATTTAACTCATTCTAATTTATGTAATTTTTTAATAGATATTATAATATCTATTTTAGACCCTTATTCTTGAATTTTTTGAATCCATCATTGAAAAATAGTAAGATTTACAATAATTATTGTGTTGGTAAAATTGAGATCATAAAATTAGTGTATACTTTAAATTTATATTGATTTATTTAATCTATAATCATTTGTGTTTTTATTCATAGTTATTTTTATTTAAGTTTTAAAAAAATTATTTATCAATTCATTAGTTTGTATATTATAATAATAAATGTTATTATTATTATATAATTTTATTAATTATTATTGCATCTATAATTCTATATTTATATATATTATATTAATTAATTATAATTGTAATGATATAAATGTATTAACTATAATTATAATTTTTATAAATATAATTATTTTTAAAAATAACATTTAAAACATTTTTTGTTTTTTTAAGGAAAAAAATATTGAAGGCGTGTGAGGTTGGTTGACGGCTTGACGCGGTGAGCGTGTGTGTGAGTCGGCAGGAGAAGAGCAATTGGAGCTTGGACTCCACGCGCTCGTAAAAGGTGTTGGACTGCCGGTTGAAGAAGGCCCACTTGGAGTAACCAGAGCCCAAAATCGCCTAATCCTTAATGTTCTTCTAAACTTTAACAGCACGAGATTTATTGTTATTCCTAATATTTCGGATTTGAGTGTAATGTATATAAATATATAACTATTTATTATAAAATAGTTGAGATTAATTAAATAAATATTATTTTATATTTACTTTAAATTTATCAACAAAAGAAAAAGAAAAAATAGATTATTTTGTAGGTCAACAGAGTAATTAGATCTTTTTACTATACGACAGAATTATTAATGATGATGAGATTGACAGCAATTAAGTTGGTAGACTATAGCTGTCCAAAGTATATGAAATTCCAAAAAAAAAATTAAGAACACAGATCTCAACATGGAGAGAATTAAACGAAGATACGATTTACAAAAAAAAAAATATAGAGGAAGTATAATAATTATAAAAATTATGATTTTACTGTGGATAATAAATTGCCGAAGATGATTCGATAGTCAATCGCTAACCTTTTTTTTGCACTTGCTTCTGTGTGGAAATGTCAAGAATTAAGGACGATGATGATGCAGGAAGTATAATGGAGCAGTTACAATTTGACTTTGCTAAGCATAAACCTGTTGGTCAACCTTCTTTACATAGTACAGCAGATATTCAACTCCAAATGGAACCAGACTCCTTCCTCTTGCTTTTGACGACTCAACAAAAGCAAATTAAAATAATTAAGATATTTTTAGTGATAATATATATTAAAATTAGGCTTAAAACACAAAGCATTCGAACTTGGAAACTTGAAGGGGTCAAGACTTGAGAGCTACGTTTTGCATACATGGGAGTTGAGAACTAAGCATTAATAAACCTATTCAACACTAATATACATACAGGTGAGGACTGCAGATTACACAGGCAGTGGAGAAAGAAGAAACTCTGGTTGTGACCTCTGTACCAATATCCCGCAAAGGGGGCATAGCGGTTTCGAGGCTACCTTTATAGAAGATGGAGACGGCATCGTAAAAAGTGACTCCGGTGCAAGATTGGAAATCCATCTCTGACAACACTTGCATTGCCATAATGGGGTAGTGATAAGGCAAACCTGCATAGAAACAGCACACCTTGCTAACTTATGCTTCTGACCATTGCTGTCATTGCTTTCCCAACCAAGGCAAATTCCGGGGAATCAAAAGGAACCGATGCCGAACAATGGCCACATTGCTCCTTTACTTCTTCAAGTTTTCCGCGTCGTGACCTGCTTTTCTAGAAGACTTGGGCACAATAGATAATAGAAAGATTGGCATCTTCAAATGGTAAGTAAAACAGAGGATTGCATTAATGCATGACTAAAACTATATTCTTTCTTCAACATATTTTATAAAGGTGTATCTTATGCATCCATCCCCTATATATGATCAAGAAAGTCTGCCTACCAAGATAAAATTACTTGTATATCAGCTAGGATGTGACTATCTTGTACGCGTACAAGTAGGGGTGTTCAAATTTTCGAACTAATTCGGTTAACCGACCGAACCGAATTAGTTCGGTTAATTCGGTCGGTCACCGAATTAATTCGGTCGGTTAACGGTTAAGAAAATTTTTAGAATTCGGTTAACGGTTAATTAGGTTCGAATTCGATTAATTAACCGAATTAACCGAATTAAATACATATATAATATATATATATATATATATATATATATATATATATATAACTCAGCCACAACCCATCAGACTCATACAGCAGCCCACTACCCATTTAAATTTTAAAACTAAATAAAATAAAATAACCTAAAAACTAAATGTAAACTTTTACCAATCTCATTCTCATCTCACGATTCTCAGTTCCTCACCCCCACCCGAGCTTTCGCCTTTCATCAAACCCTAATTCATTCTCTCTCTCTCTCTCTCTCAGTCTCTCTCTATCTCTCTCTCAGTCTCTCTAATTTCAATTCAGGTTAGCTTTCTAACTTAAAAATTATAGATTTTCTCTTTGATTAGTTTACCTCTCCCCTAAAAAATTTAATCATTTGTTTGATTTAGGGTTTATGATTTGATATCATTTCTGTGTTTGGGATTTTTCTCTTTTCTTTTATTTGTTTAATGTTTCGGTTCTGTTTGGTAGCCTTCTTGTTCTGGGTTTTTAAGGTATTCGGTATTTCATGATTGTGCTTTCCTTGTTCTATTAGTTTCAAGTATTTAGATTTTCCTGGGTTGCTGCTCTGTAAGGTTGTGTATGTATGTTTCAATAACATTATCTTTAATTGACATTCAGTGCTGGTTCAAACCCCGGATAACCCGTCCCCTAATTTTTTATTTTTTATTTTTTTAAAAAAAACCTTTTGTGTATTGTCGTGTTTAGCTCCTATTGGTTACAATTTACGAGTGTAGGCACAGATAAAAACTTGTTAAAGAAAAGTTCTACTTCTGCAATTTAAAGTTTCTTCATATATATTACATTTGCTTAACAACCACCTGAATAAAGTCTTCTGAAACTTTGCTTGAATCCCGACACGCATTTTGTTTTTTCCTAATAAAACAAAAGCATGATACAGTTTACCGTTGCTGGTAATTATATGAAATTAGTTGGATTATTGGGACCTTTTTCTACAACTTTTAGGCGACACCAGAATTTGAGAAGAAAAAACAGTAACGAATAGAAGTCACCGGTGGTAATGAATCTGGTCTACTGTAGGTGTTTAACATTATTTGAGAGTTGATGCAGTAGTGGGAAAATGACTTTCTAGACAGTTTTTATATGAATTACAGCCTCTTAATATCTATATAACGAAACGTGTTAGGAACTCTGAAGGAATGACTCTCTTGATGTCTGCTTGTTCCCGTTTCTAAGTGTCTTTAGTTTCGAGTTCATTCTTTACTAAACATATTTTTATATGTTCCATAATGCTTTTTGTTCAAAAGTTTCATTAGTTTTCTATCCATGTATTTCTATTTGTGTTACACATATTTTCTTCTTATATTGGAAATTGCACAAAATGTTGACATATCTAAACTTTTATTCTGCATATGCATTTCCTAGAGAAAATTGGTTTGAATGTTCAAAACAACGTATTATATGGAAATCATTATCATTAATGGTAATCGAGAGTAGGAAGACACGTAAACGCACATACACATGGAGCAATTAAGTGTTCAGAGAACAACGACAGATGCATTAAAAGCATGGGCTTAGATTTGCGATTGAGGGTTAAAACTTGAACAACAATCTTTTGCTGCAGACAACACATTCTGCAATCACTGTGCTCTCTCTGATTTTTATTCTTTTGTAATAAAAAATGGTATTTAGTTATGCTTTCTGATTTATTTTGAGTTATGTTATCTTAATGTGATTATTTATTACTTTTTTTTTACTTCTCATATTTTGCTGTAGATATCCAATATGGCAGCATCTGCTAAGGGAAGTGTTTCACCCCCTTTATCAAATTCTACAAATTCAACGACTGAAGCTTCAAGTCAAATCAACAACACAAGAGGGACTGCAAGTAAACGGAAAGCTATTCCTTTAAGGTCAGAAGTATGGACTCACTTTACTAAGTTTTTAAATAGTGAGGGTAAAGGCAAGGGTAGATGCAATCATTGTGAGAAAAAATTTTATTGTGATGGGAAAAAAATGGAACTGGGTCATTAATATATCACATGAAATAATGTAAGAAAAATCCTAACAACATTGACACTAATCAAAGCAATTTAGTGTTACCTAGTAAGGATATTCGAGGAGAAGTAGGACATCTCACAACTTGGAAATTTGATCAAGAAACAACTAGAAAGGATTTAGACCAAATGATTGTGACTGATGAATTGCCTTTCAAGTTTGTTGAGAGTGAAGGATTTAGAAAATTTATGTCTGTAGCATGCCCCAAGTTTTGTATTCCTTTAAGATTGACTATAACTAGAGATATTTATCAGTTGTACTTGGATGAAAGGACTAAGCTGAAACAATATTTAAGAAGTTCATGTTCTAGAGTTTGTTTAACTACTGATACGTGGACCTCTATGCAAAGAGTTAATTATATGTGTCTCACTGTGCACTTTATTGATAACGATTGGAAATTGAATAAGAAAATCATAAGTTTTTATCCAATTTCTAGTCATAAAGGAGATGCAATTGGGTTGATGATTGAAAAATGCTTATTAGATTGGGGAATTGATAAGTTGTTCACTGTCACCGTTGACAATGCAACTTCGAATGATGTTGCTATTGGTTATTTAAGAAAGAGATTTAGTCCTCAAGGGGGTTGCATTGCAAATGGTAAATATCTTCATATAAGATGTATTGCACATATTGTGAATTTGATTGTTGTTGAAGGTTTAAAGGAAATGAACAAATCTGTTGCACGTGTTAGGGGGGCTGTGAAATATGTGAGACAATCTCCAGCTAGATTGAAAAAGTTCATGGAGTGTGTTGAGATGGAAAAAATTGAGAGCAAAAAAAATGTTATGTCTTGATTTTTGTACTAGGTGGAACTCTACATATTTAATGTTAGACACTGCTGAAAAATTTGAGAGAGCTTTTGAGAGATTTGAGGAGCAAGATACAAATTTTAGGGCTGAACTTGAGTTAGGAGAGGGCTGGCCAACTGTAAATGATTGGACTTGTGTTAGAAACTTGAGGGATTTCTTGGAACATTTTTATGAAGTCACTTTGCGAGTTTCAGGTACTTCATATGTCACATCTAACAATTTTTTTAATGAACTTACTGAAATTTGCATACTTTTAAGGGATATTCAATTAAGTGTTGATGTTGAATTTAGTGTTATGGCCATGAGGATGAAAGATAAATTTGAGAAATATTGGGGTGATATTGAGAAGATGAATATGCTTGTTTTTGTTGGTTGTGTTTTAGATCCTAGGCAGAAATTAAGTTATCTTGAATTTGCACTTAGTGAGATGTATGATTCGGAAAAAAGTTTTGAAGTGATGCAAAAGCTGAAAGAGACTTTGAATGAATTGTATGATGAGTATAAGCCTCGAGTCTCTAGTGATGGAAACCATTTAAATGTGAGAATTTCTGAACCGCAACAAAAAAGTGAAAAGACGCATGAAAGATTTGTATAAAAGGCGTGTGATTGAAATTGGTGGTGAGGATCAAACATTTGAATTAGATAAATATCTAGGGGAGGCTGTTGAGAATTATGATGATGAATTTGATATCTTGTCATGGTGGAAAGTCAATAGCCCTAGATTTCCAGTTCTGTCAAATATGGCCAAAGATGTATTAGCTATACCGCTTTCTACCGTCGCTTCAGAGTCTCCATTTAGTACCGGTGGACGTGTGCTTGATCAATTTAGGAGTTCTTTAACTCCTAAAATGGTACAAGATTTTGTGTGTACTCAAGACTATATTAAAAAGTCATCAATCGAAGAGGAGATCAAGAAGTTTGAAGAACAAATTCAAGAGCTTGACAAGATTGATAATGGTATGTTGATTCTTTATTAATTAATTTTAATTTAATAAGTGAATTTACTTTAAGGAGAATTGACACAACATTAATTGATTTAATCATTTTAACTTTTAGATTTATCTTGGAATGCATTACAACATACCCTCAATTCATGAGCTCATAGGATTCTGCACTGCAACACTGTGAGTATGAGTTGAAGGGCATGCATTAATTGTAAATTGCATTATTGCAATATATTTTTTAATTTATATATATGGTTTTTTATACTGTATTTTTAGATTTAAAATAATATCTTTTTCTTGTAGAGATAATTCAAATGGAAACTTTTTGGGAGGATTCAATTGGTGCAAAAAGAGTATTTTGAATACTGTTTTTTTGTGGTAATTTCTTCCCTTACATTCATTTTAATTTCATTAGCCATATTAGTTATTAGTTAGCACATATCTAATTAAGTGATGAATGATGTTTACTAAATAAGATTGTATTACATTTTTTTATTGCAATCACCTCGTTCAACAGACAAACAATGCATGAAATAAGCTTTTGGGCCTGCTACCTTAATAATAGCTTCATCAACCTGAAATAAGATTGTATTGCATTAGATTGAGTTAGCTTAGCACTTATAATTTTAGCATTGGTTGATACTTAATAGATATATTTGATGTTTATACCTTGGATTGTTTTTATTGTTTTTGATAGTTCGAACTGAATTTTGCATCTCTTTATTTTTTATATTGTGCACTGTGCAAGTAATATGTTCTCTTAAGATATGAATTATTCTGCACTTGATAGAGAACATCTTGGTTGGTATGGCAGCATCAGCAAACAACTTAGTAGTTAGCACAACCTTCTTCATGCACCAACACTTAAAGTGTAAACTGTTTGTATATTGAATTATGCTTCCAATTCTGCACTTTGTTCTGATTTATTTGGTAGAAGTGCAATATTATTGGTTATTTTTTAACTAAATTGATAGATACAAATATCTTATTTTAATATAATGTTTGAATCAAATTAATTAGATATTGTAAATTGTTTTTTAATTAAAAAATATTAAATTCAAAAAATTTAAAATATTTCAATTAATTCGAAAATTAACCGAATTAACCGAAATTTGTTCGGTTCAGTTAATTTTTTCATAAAAAAGTTCGATTCGATTAATGGTTAAAGAAAAAAAAATTTGGTTAATTCGGTTCGGTCGGCCACCGTTTTAACCGAATGAACACCCCTACGTACAAGTACACAAATAGCACCTTTTATGGGTTTTAATCTTTGTTGCCACAGCTTTTTGTTGCTTGTGTATGTGACGATTATTATTTGCATCCCACTGCTCCATTTGTGCTATACCAAGAGGATACCAATGTCCAGGCTCAGAGGTGGATGAACTGGATGCAAGACGTTTATAGGCGGAAATACTTAAACCGGCAAGCCTCTCTCGTATTTCTGTTTCACTGCTTGAAAGTAATTCCATCCATAAATTAAGTAGCTTATCTCGAGTAAAACTAGCATCATCTACTCGCAAGTTCAATGAGTCGTTATTTGTTTCATCCGCTTTCAGCTCTGATAGTATTACCCGTCTGCAAATAATGTTAAGGAGGTGCAACTGGCGTGAAGCAGCTTTACGAAAACTTTTACAGATGTGTTGCAGAATCTTCCCAATAGAATTTTCCACATGCACATCCACAAATGAGATTGAAAGCCACTTAACCAAAACATGGTCAACAAAAGTGGGTGCAGACTGCTTGAAGGCCGATAATGCTGCTACAATATCCCAAATAACCAAAGGCTTATCACAATGTTCATATTGTTTTAAAGACCACAAAAAATTGGACTCCCAATAAACCAGTTCTTTTTCAGTAAAACAAGGGAAGGCTTCAATGTCAAACTCCAGGGAATTACTTGATAAATTATCCTTTTGTTGCCCACCGATCCAAAAGAATTCGACGACAGCCTTCTGAAGCCTGGGAAAGTTAAAAGAATATCAATACTTGATAAAAGTGCAAGGTAAATGAAACAAAAATAAGCAGTTGTTTTCCTTCTTTATCCCATCCCTTATTGAACTGTGATTTAAGTAGGGTACACTATTTCGTTAAGGTACTACAAAATTATTCCGGCCTTCACACGAAGTTCATTCAACGAGTATTAACGAACTTGATTTTTAACCTGAGTGTTACACTTGCTCGTTAAGAGTGAAGTTTCTCCATAGCCTGGTATGATACCAACACTCAACTATTCTCTAGTTCTCACAATACAAATACTATATTAGAGTGCAACTTAAATGAAAAGATTTCAGGAACAGTTCCTTACCTAGCCTCACACATTTGGTCCAACTGATTAACATCAAAACTGCGAACCTACAAAAAACAAACACAAACAAGTCTTTGTTCTATAAGATATAGATGTTTTATATTAAAAAATTGAATAAACAGCATCATCTCTTAATATACCAGCAATTACTTTAAGCAACATTACATACAAAGAGGCTACACCATATGTTCTCGTAGAAAGATGAGAACGCATTGTTTATAACTGAAATTGATCCAACCCCTCAAATACCAACGGCGTTGTTAACAAGCATGATATTACATAAAGTCAGCATGCATGTTTCCTTTTAATACTTTCTTCAGTGTCAATGTGTGTGTCTGGTACTGGCTTGTAAGAAGGGCATGATTGAAGAGAACTATTCTTATTTCTTTTTCATTGTAGTTATAAACAAATGATAATGATAATGGTGATGCTTTAGACTTCGTATTAGAAGTGATAATTTTCCAATGATAACCATTAAGGCCGTAAGCAGTAACCCTTCATTTATGAGGGAGAATATGAGTCCCCCAATGTTCCAAAAGAAAGCCAAATAAGAAAGAGGATAAACAATATAAAAAGAAAAACCTGAGAGGTAAAGAATGCTATAATCTTGTAACTTAAGAATGAGGATATGTTTCACCAAAGTTCGTTGCGGACATGAATATGAGAAATTTGAAAGATGAGTAGCAACATAAATGAGAGATTTAGGATCATACCATAGCAACTGCAAGATTACTTGGTGACACCACCAGTCCGAGGCATGAAATAAACACATCCGGTATCTGCAAAAATGTTAATCAAAATTGAAAAAAAAAATGAAAAGAAAAAAGATAAACAAGACCAGCAAATGTGGCATATCATACATCACTGAAACTCCTCATCCCAGGAGAACTTGAGGGAATGGGCACTTCACTCAGGGAACTCCCATGTAAATTCCAGCTACGAACAAAATTATCCTAATATCATTCATAAAGGTTAAAAAAGTAATGACTGTATGAAAATGTGAGAATTAACTTGCCCGGTAAAAAAATTAAACTCATAGCAATACATTTTATATTCTAAACGCCTGGATCTCAAGAATATAAAATTTATGCATATAATAAATTATAACTTACAGTACGAGAAGTTCAACGTGCAATTTCCACTGTTTGCCAATTATAGACTTGGAACTAATGAACAAGGACTAATATTGGTAAAATGTCCAAAGAGATTAATTAATTAGTTAATGAAACACACAACTGTGTGGCAGTGGAAGATGTACAGAAGAGAAGCTTGTAATGTATTGCTCTAAAGAGTGGTTGCAGAGATATTGGCAAGGCATTAACACATTCATGGCTGACAGAAAACTCCCAGTCGCAATTTATAATTCTTCCGTTTGAAAAAGACAATATATGGAAAGCCAAGAAGAGAAACAGCTAAGAATTGCCATATTAGTGATGGTGCCTAAGTGAATTGGTTAAACGTCTGAACCACTTAGTTAAAGTAGCAATGCTAATTCTAAGCAACTTGCAAATATGTCGTATCTGCTAGAGATATTACTCTTTAGACAAGCACATCTAGACAGCAGTTAAGGCAATAAAATTGATTGGCCATTTGAGATAAAAATATAGATGAATTGATTCAATTTTATAAATTCCAATAGTATCCACCTCTAAAATCTCTATACAGGAAAGTTAGAAACAATATATTTAACAACTTATTAACTGAATAATAGCAAATATGAAGCAGCAGAATTTTGAAGAAGTTTTATACCTTGCTGCAGCTGTACAAGGAACATCCAGCGAAAGCCCAAGCTAATACAGTAACCTGAAGACATATCATCACAGATAAATAAATCAATGGTGAGATGCAGAAAAAAGGATAATGAACAAAAACGCAGAAACTTACAACTTGGTCATGAGCATCATATTGTCCAGCTTTATTAAACTTTTTTACAGATGTATCTCCTATCCATACTTCAAAAGCTCCAGATGTTCTGCCCACCGCTAAGAGCATTTTATCAAGCGACTGAGTGGGCATAAGTGAAAGCACCGAGACTGGGACAGCATAAATATTTGTAATCTATTCAGAAGTTTATAAGTCAGAGTAGATTCTATAGACTAATATAAATAATTAAGAAAATACAACTAACAAAGTAGTAAGAGTTACCCTTCAACAAAGGATAAAAGAGAAGCATTATTACCTCCTTCAATGGATAAAATGGAGCATTATTAACTTCAGTGGACTTCATAAATTCCTGAGTGGCCTACCCATATCCTTACACTGTGCAAAAGAAGAACAAGCAAGTACATAAGAAGTGGTCAAACAACATTTCATAATCTTGTAAAGGATAAAGTGATTAAATTTACAAAGCTAAATCCGTAGAGAAGTCAGCACCATTCATTGTCAAAAAGTATTTTTTTAGCATCAGAATTCCTGTTACAATTGGTATATAGGAGCAATTTTATCTTGGTATAAAAGTTAAGCACCATGAGGAAAATTTTCATTAATTTTGCTTGCATCTCAGCTCCAAAAAGCTTGCTTGGATATGAGAATACCCATCAAAAGATGCAACTTTAATGCTAATGTCATTATAAGCTGAAACAATGTGAGCATACCTAACTCACCTCCCGTTAGAACTCCCAGTAGCTAATAAAACTTGAGGACTAGAAGATTCAGAAGCAAGCAAGGCCCACTTATCGTGGTGACCCAGGAACTGTGTGCCATAAGGATCCCAATGAGCTCCACCGTAGTAGGGGCCACACTTCGCTCAATAGAGTAGTATTGAGGTGCATTAATTCTCCATAATGAAATTTTACCAGACTTTGAACCTACCGCTAGAAGAGAGAAGCAGTTGGATGAATTATTTTCAGGAGCCCAACAAATTTCAAATGATAATTTAAGCAGAGGAGACCAGGCAACAACAAGTGATGATAGCATTGCACTACGCGAAGCATATTGATCTGCAGTTATCAAAGGTAGGCTACAAACTTCAGGCCTTTTATTGTCAGTTCTCCCTCTAGTTTGGATAGCAGGAACTGTCTGATGTGAACTTTTTCGCCCTTCAGATTCCATGCACCTACTCTGAAATAAAGCCACAAAAAGCACAGATAGGGTTTCATTGGCATTTGAAACCAAACCAGAGGCAAGCTAGTCTTCAAAATTCAGAGTGAGAATCATGACATTGGTATTTACTTGATAAAAGGAATGCTAATTGGACAACAAAGAGATGGAGAGCAGAAGAAAGTAAGAAACTATTTTTTTAACAAAAAACGTACCTTGGGAGGACCCTCTCCCTCTCCAATGCTAGGCTGCGTATATAAGATTTTTCATGTATTGTTTAGCATGAGATAGAAACCATTAATAAAAGAAAGGACTTACATTATAAATTTCTGAGGGAGGAATATCTGGATCCTCAAAACTAGTACTTGCAAGATAATCATAAAGCCTATCAGTTATATCCAAAACCTACAGAAAATTTGAACAAGAGCATGTCATTAACAATAGTTGCATTTAAACAGAAAATATTATGGTCTAACATGTTCCCCCTTTATCATAAATACAGAATTAATCTCCACGACGTCAATTAATATAGAGTTTGGCTACACAAAACATACTTCATCGTTCTTTCTAATTTTGTTATGGTATTGACTATGTTTCAAACAAACTACCCAAACATTTGAGTACCTACTTCACTTCAGTGGCTTCAAACATTTCATGGGAACTACAACTTGCTATAGAGACTAAAAAGTTTGTCCCAACTCGAGTACATACCTCTATCCAATCAGCACCGAAATCACAAAAGGGAGGACGATAGAGCTTTACACGCCCTTCTGTGGTGCAAACAGCCAGCAAGCACCTACATACAGTTCCATTTCATTGAAGCAATTGTTCAAAAGTACATATATACAGTGCAGAAAACTAGGGAATCATGCAATGATATCTTTCAGATTCTTACCCAGAGTTGGGAGCCATTCCAAGATGAGACCATGAAATTGATCGAACATAAGGACGAGGATCCCGACCAGGGATTTAAATAGCGTTTGCGGTCACATTTTCGGTCGCGTCGCGCTTATCGCGATTTGCGAACTTAATGGATGTCATCACGGTCACTGTGGGTGTCGAGGTCGTGAAGTTTTTAAATTTTGCACAACTTATCTTAAAACATAATTTTAATGATTTTTAGAATGTTTTCTAAGCGAAAATGACATATATATAATATAGTTTAACTAAATAGAAGATTTTAAAAATCTGATGATAGGATAAGATAATTAATTAACGATGAGATTTTGAATACATTGTTATTTAAAAGAAATAATACTATCAACATAGGAAAAACTCTAAAAATTAAAATGAATAAAAATAAATTTTGCTATAACTATGAGATAAGAATTTCTTTACTATGTTGAATGAAATTTGAATAAATTTAAATAACACAAAATAATTAAATTAAATATAATTAAAATTTAAATGTCAAAAATTTATATTAGAGAAAATAACCTCAGTGACCGAAAATATCTTATAATATACGATTTTAACCAACTTTTTTTGGATTTGCCAAAATGACCAACAAAATTGCAACGCGAACTCCAACTTCGCAACTCAGTTTCCAAATTCGCGTTGCGATAGTCCAAATTCGCATTGCGATATCGCAACGCGATCTTAAATTCGCAACTCAGTTTCCAAATTCGCGTTGCGATAGTCGAAATTCGCGTTGCGATAGTCCAAAATCGCGTTGCGATAGTCCAAAATCGCATTGCGATTTTCCATTTCGCGTTGTGATAGTCCAAAATTGCATTGCGATTTTCCATTGCATTTGTTTCTTAAGAATTTTCTCTAAAAAATGGTATCCGCACGGACGTGTCGAAGACACGTATTACCACGATCCGAGACGAGACGGCGGCGGCGGCGCGCGAGAGTCCCCCTTGTTCTCTTTCACTCAACAAGGAAGTGGGAAATCCAAGCCTTAAATACTCATTCCCAATAGTGTTTCCAATACTATGTGGGATTGAGCATTGTAAGTTGTATGCATTGACTATAGATTTTGGAGACTTTGTAGATTATAATGGAAATTTTATGCCTCTTTTTGCTACAAATTGTGTAATCTGCTCCAATGTTACGACTATAAATTTATCATAAATTTTGCTACAGTGCATGATTAAGTTTTTGAAATTTCAACTTAAAATGGTGCTTCTATTCAAAATCTAGTAATCATCAATTCCAGTAATTTTCCTCCATTTCTCTTGGTTCCATCTTTCCTATGGCCCCTGAATCTCGTTAACGTTACATTATCATCATATTCACTCATGCTTGAACGCAAACTATGGAACTCTTCAAGATATTAGAAGACATGAGAGTATTCTAGATCGTGTAGCACAAAAAGGGCCTAGAATACATATTAGAGAAGCAATCTACTTCATCCAAAAACCTATTTTTAATTTCAAGTGTTTGCAGGCGTGAGGATATCCATGGAACATGAAGATTGAGGAATATTTCAATATGCAATAAAAAGCGCTGTGATTTATTAATCATCAACCTTCCATTGTCGATGTTCATTCATTCAAGATAAAAGTCTTGCTCTTGCATTTATAGTCAATGCATGCAACTTACAATGCTCAATCCCACATTGTATTGGAAACACTATTGGGAATGGGTATTTAAGGCTTGAATTTCCCAATTCCTTGTTGAGTGAAAGAGAACAAGGGGACTCTCGCGCGCCGCCGCCGCCGCCGTCTCGTCTCGTCTCGGGTCGTGGTCGTGGTCGTGGTCGTGGTCGTGGTCGTGGTCATGGTCGTAGTCGTAGTCGTGGTAATACGTGTAACCCCCTAGACCCGGTCTGTGAGTTAGACCCAAACCTAAGTGGTCACATATCCCATTCAGAGGTTTTTTTTTTAATATCTTACAATACATTATATTAATAATACAGATATGTTCAAAATTATAGCAAATACATGTCACCAAACATAACTGAAAAACATATAGAAATATATGTTCGTACAAAATAAGTAGTTGATTTCCCCTGATGCCAAATCTGCTAGCTTACTGTCTGCTACTATCTGAAAAAGGGTAAAAACTACAGAATGAGCTAAAAAGCTCAGTGTGCTCCATACAGTATATAAGAAAAATATACAGATAAAATCTTTCAATGAAATCAGTTTATGCAACATGTTTTTATTTTTTTTTAAAACATGAACACTACCCCCATCCGTTCACATCATAGTTGTATAGGTTCCCCAGAACCATACACCCAACCGCACATGCCATTTAGACCCTGAGCATAAAGCCGAGAAGTCTGCAGATAATCTTCCTTCAACAATACCCCCCAAATGACAATGAATGTATTCAATTGAAAACAATGATTAATCACTTAAAACATAACAAATATTTCATACTTAGAAACCATATGCAGAAATACGGAAATCAGAATTCAAATCAATAATTCAGATATCAGATAAGCAGATCTCAGAAATCGGTATGAAATACCCTAATTCAGAAATTATATCAGAATATACAACAAATCAAATATCAAATACTCGGTATTCAGATAAATTATTTAAATCAGTAATATAATACTGTTAGGAAACACACCTGCAACAGTCTGGGAAATCAGATAGGGAAGCCTATTACTGGGTCTGTCGATCACGTTCTGCTGCAGCGCTAGATCCTACGAATTGGAAAAATCCATATTGGAATCCTAATATAAATAATCTAAATATTATTTAAATAATATACGGAAACCTACGGGTAATTCTCGTAGTACGCGGTTCAGGCTGATCTAACGAACGGATAACACCGGACCTAATTGATCCTTGCTCAGGTGAAACACGAGTACCTTCATAAAATATTTTTATTGAATAAATCCTTGACCAAATCTCATTTAAATAATCAAAATATTAAAATATTAAGCCTTTTGGGTTTACAAGCTCGATTCGGGAATTTCGGGTCAGAATTTGGCAAAACGGGTCGGGTCGTGACCGGTCAAACCGGTCAAAACCGGTTTCCAGCGTTCACTCGCTTGCGGCGGCGCGTGCGACGTCCTCCGGGGCTCTAAAAATCACGGAAAAATTTCTAAAAATTATTTTGAGCGATTTCGAGATACTTACAAAGATCGGTTCAAATTTTTGAACGGCGGAGAGCTCGATTTCGACTCGGCCGAATCTTTGACTGATCCACCTCCCCACGCGCCGCCGTCAACGGAGATCGAGGATGACACCGGCGGACTCAGAACGGCACAAGGAACACGATGGTGCGGGAGGTGTCGTAAACGGAGTAGCGATCGACGATGAATTTAGGATTTTCTAAGCGATTGAGCTAAAAAAAACGTCGATGCTTTGACTTGAAATTCACGGTGTTTGGCAGCGTTTCGCTTCAATTAAATTGAGGGGATTGTTCCTGAATCGATAACGAACACGATGGTACTTTCAAAACGATGATCGGAATTCGGACGGTGTCAGAATCGTCGTCGGAAGTTGAGGTAAGGAAATGGAAATTTGGGAGTAATTGGGTTCTGATTTTTAGAACCCAATTCACGCATATATCATATATATAAACCAAATACCTAACTTTTTTTGGGTAAATTCAGGGCTTGGTCCCTAAATTTTCTTTAACTCTAAAACAAGCTACAAGTTTTAAAATCTTTCAATTTAGTCCCTAAAAATTACCAATTTTCACAATTAAATCTTCAATTCCATTTAACTATTATTTTGATATTATCGGGTTGTTACAGTTCTCCCCCTCTACAAGAAATTTCGTCCTCGAAATTTACCTTATGAAAACAGATGAGGAAATTGAACCTCCATTGACTCCAATGTCTCCCAAGTAGCTTCTGAGGGGCTACGGTTAGTCCACTGAACTTTGACCATTGGAATACGCCTATTCCGAAGAACTCGCTCATCCCTCTCTAAAACCTGAACAGTCTTCTCCTCATATGACAAATCAGGTCTCAGCTCTACCTCATCAAACTGAATGATGTGATCTGGATCTGGACGGTATCGCCTCAACATAGACATATGAAAAACATCATGAATACGACTGAGCTGGGGAGGCAACTCAAGTTGATAAGCAACAGGTCCGACTTTCTTCAGAATACGATACGACCCAATAAATCGCGGACTCAGTTTACCCTTACGTCCAAATCTCAATACCTTCTTCCATGGAGATACCTTGAGAAAAACCTGATCTCCAACCTCAAACTCGATATCTTTACGTCGCTTATCTGCGTATGACTTCTGCCTATCAAATGCCTCTCTTAAGCGATCACGGATCAGTCTGACAGTATCTTCAGTCTCTCGAACTAAGTCTGGACCCAAAGTTTTTCTATCATGTAACTCTGTCCAACATATAGGAGTACGACATCTACGTCCATACAAAGCCTCATACGGTGCCATGCGAATACTCGCCTGATAACTATTATTGTAAGCAAACTCAGCTAATGGCAAGAAATCTTCCCAACTATCACGAAAATCAATCACACAACCCTGTAACATATCCTCCAACACTTGAATCACTCGCTCAGACTGTCCATCAGTTTGGGGATAAAAAGTTGTACTGAAATTCAAACGAGTACCCAGAGCCTCGTGCAAAGCTTTCCAGAACCTGGAAGTGAATCTCGGATCTCGATCAGATATGATAGACAACGGAACACCATGAAGTCAAACGATCTCAGAAATGTACAACTTAGCCAGTTTATCCAGAGAATAATTAACCTGAATAGGGATAAAGTGCGCTGACTTGGTGAGTCGATCAACAATCACCCAGATAGAATCCTTTTTGGAAGGAGTTAGAGGAAGACCAGTAACGAAGTCCATCGTAATACGCTCCCATTTCCACTCAGGAATCTTAATTGACTGTAACAATCCAGACGGATGTTGGTGCTCTGCCTTAATCTGCTGACAAGTCAAACACCTCGCCACAAAATCTGAAATATTTTTCTTCATACCAGTCCAAAAGTAGCGATCTTTGAGATTATTGTACATTTTGTCCCCGCCAGGATGCATAGCATAAGGACTACTATGAGCTTCCTGAA